GTCTGGGTTTTGAAGAAAATCTTGTCACAGAATAATAGTCTGTTAAAAGTATGAAATAATTTGGGGACAAAAAAACAAACCTGCATAGAAATCGGAATAATAGGTCTTTTGATTACCGAGAACACATTTCAATGGACTTGATTACGAACAATGCATGACGTAAATTTCACCAGGAAATTCAGCAGTGTTCTCTCGCAATCGCGGACTTAGTCATTTTTACAAGGTTCGCCATTTTTGATGTCACGTGATAATTATGTAAACAATGACTGTTCAGTTTGTGCGAACTTGTACACCTCTATACTTAGTCTTTTGAAATATATAACCTAAACTACTGTTCTGAACGAGACAACAGACATAGAATGTTTTATTCAAAAACGTTACAAAACCCTTCTCGCTACCTTAAGTCACCACAGTATGTTCTTGTCGATAAGCATCAAGCAAAATGCTCACATACATTGTATTGATGACAACTTGTTCTGATGTCACAAAAAATAAAAGAGTAATGGTACTGATTACAAAATAAACTTACATTTTTCTCTTAAGTCCAGATCTTGCTGGTTTGACAAGACTAAGCAAGAACTCAATCAGTCGGTTGACAATCTGCTGCTGTTTGGTGTGTTTCTGACGAAGCTCTTTTACCTCACGCCATAGTGCCTGATTTTCTCTAGAAAGAAAAATAAAATAATGTAAGGACTAACACATGGACTATTATAATATCATTGCACACCTTCACATCCATACAAATTCAATATACTGTTGATAATAGTTCAGTCCAGTGACACTAGTACACCCACGTAACACTTGAATGAATGGTCTTTAAAGTATGACCAAATCTTGTTAATTGTTTATGCAAATTATTCAATATTATATAAGTAAGCACGTGATAAAAATATTATATCACGTATATGAACGATTAGATCTATGCATAATGCAAATTACCATTCTAGCTTCGGGCAAATGATCGCCTGTATGGCCCTTATTTACACAGTAGTATTTACCATGACACCATATTTGATATGCATGTTGCAATAAATGTTATAAACATTGGGAAATCATTAGTTATTTTCATAAGAGCAAAATGGTTCAGCTTAGTGCTCATTTACCTTTTCATAGCATCCAATTTGTTGCTCATGTCTCCTTGTTTTCCTTTCATTTGTTTAACATCATTCAGAATGAGCGACACATCTCCTTGCTTTACTTTCACTTCGTCACCTTTACTGGAGGAAATCTGCAACGAACAAACAACATCAGACAAAAAACAACAACATGTTTTCTCCTTGTGATCAGAAACGTCAATTTGAAACTTGTGTATGAATTTTTCTCAATGTTGCGTACTTGTGAAGGGCATCTTAATGATGAAAGAATTCCTAATTAATATGCACAGACAAATCAAATCTTGCAATTTTTCCAAAGCATTTGATTATCAAGCTTCATGTGAATCCTTGAAATATCAGTGAAACAGGATTTATGCATAGAAACAACTGGTGCCAAACAGGAGCTAAAAACAGGATATGAAATTAATATTCCGAGGTTATCATAAGAATACTGCAAAGTATGCACAAAGGCAGTACACTGTGATCATATAGCTCGATGCTTAGCTGATGCGAGATGTAAACCGTACTGCCTGAGTGCATACTTTACGGTATACTCATGACAACTTCATTATTATGCATTTTTTCCTGCTTGTATTAATATTTTATTGAGAGATTATAATCCGAAATGACATCGAAAAAACGTTTTGTGCTACGTGAATGTTTGCGCGAGACATGAGATTCTATTTCCATTGCACTATAGCATTATAGCAATGTAAACAAAGGAAAGTGTTTGAATGTGACAATATGGACATCATAGTTTACCCCAGTATAAGAGAAAATTTGAAAGTTTGAAATGAGTGCTGATAAGTTTTAGAACTAGGGCTGATGTGGCTTTTTACAAAACTCTATTTTTGTTGGCGCTAGATATGTAATAATATAAGGTTATTACGAGAATACCTCAAAGTACGCACAAAGACAGTAACAGTTGGATTATCATTCGACATGCAGCAGAGGTCGATGCACGGCATACTGTCTGAGTGCATACTTTGAGATATTCTCGTAATAACCTTATTATTATACATCTTTTCCTTCCAAGGATACACCATGGGAATGCCGAAATTCAAAATGTTTTGAACAGAATCAGCGAACTTCTTTGTGTGGAGTCTGGTCAAACTCTGTTGGCAGCCATGTTTGTTTTTATTAGTAGAGGACGCTTGTGCGCGTAATCATTCCATATTTGGAATTCGCATTTTCTAATATGGTAGGATGAAAACGCTGTATGGCGTTACGGTCACAGATATATTATAATAATAATTATTATTGTGCACACAAATAAGAATGAGGTGCTTTTGTAGTTTAGGAAAAATAAAATAAGTTTGCAATGACATGAACAACAAAATGGTGTACTTACTTTCCTTTTAATCTGTTCCAACAACTCAAGCCGTCCCCTTATGAAATAAGGATGACAAAATTCTGTTTCATCACGCTCTACTTTCAATCCACCACTCTCAACATTAACAAGCTTTCTGAAGCCATCTACAAATATAAAAAAGCAACATTTTGTCTGCACTTATATTCTGAATATTTCTGGAAATGGGACAAAATCTGAGTCAATTTTCAGGTTTTAGTCCCAATCTTCTGAAGGAAATTGCAGACTATAAATGGGACTATTTTCTGAATTTGTGATGAAAAGAGGTAACTGGTGGTGAACAGGTTAGTATTGAAATAAAATATGAATATTTTTGTGACAATTTCTGTTTCTTCATTGTAAAAGTGCTGTTGAAATCAATGATGATGCAACTAATTTCGCAATTTTATTTTCTCCCTAAAAGACGCAATATTCGTCTCAATCTGTCACATGGTGAACTAAAATTGTCATTTGTACATTTTCTCGAAGGAGGTGCTTGGGGAAGAGCCCGAAAACATGTTTTTTAGCTGAGACCCTGGACGCTAAGCCATTAGAATATGGTGCTATATCACTATGGCAATGCGTACTCAGCTGGGTCAACTTTGACATGACTGCCATAATCAGTGTGGTTGAATCGGCTAATCTTTTCAGACTGTGACGATGCTGTTTACTATTTCAATTTTGTGATGACTACATTGTCTATGTGTAGTCCTACTTTTCAAGTTTGTACATTGTTGTCTATAGAGGGTTATTGTTGTATAAGACTAATACATGCAAGACAAGGGAAATGTGTTCTGCTCAGTTTCATCATTATGTATGAACTCAAGTTCACAAACTTCAACATTTTTGGTACCAAATTTAAAGTGGGGAAGTCGTCACCTGCGCATGCGTCAGATGGTCATAGCATGTTATTGTTTACAAACAAGCATCTACCCATGAGCCTTTGTGGCATTAGCACGTGTTGTTATTATCGTTTGGGACTCAATTCCCGTGCGTGCGCAAGTGACGACCCTCCCGCTTCAAGCTTCACACAAACACAGCCTATAGCAGTGCTTGAATAACAGTGCTTGAAGTACACCCATCCTAAAAAAGTTTCATCTTCTAAAATCAACAATTTATAAATTAACTTACACATGTTTAGTTGTCTTATAAAGCTGGCAATGTTGTTGTGTTTGAAGTAGTTTGGCAACACTTCCTTGGCAAATCGACCTTGGTCACAGACAAGGAATGATGTACCATTCTGGAACAATGGAAGAGTAAAAACTACTGTTATGTATTTAGAACATTTCAATTATTCTTGACGCTTAGAGTACAGTTTAGGTTTTCGTAATTGCTAATCCCTATTCAAGAATATGTTTTATTGTGACCAGATTTAAATGTTAACAGCATGACAATTATTTTACACTTCTTCAATACTCTTCAAGTTTATTTTTCTAAAATTACTAATTTCCAGTTTTATAAAAAAATATGTCACTTTTTCTACCAAAATCAAGAGATCATACTGCAATGTTGATAAATGACTAAATTTTACTTGCATTATATATAATATTATTATCATATGACTGAGTGATAATCAATATTTGTAACATCTAAAACAAGCAAGTAGTTCACATGTGAACCAGCGTGAACAGATTGCAATACAGTGATCATTGCATTTTATTCTTGCCATTAACAAAACTAAAACCAATGCACATTACATTAAAAGTATTTTTATTATTACAATACCAAGAATAATTTTTTAGTTGGACTATAAACTTTACAACTATTTGTGGTACCTAATATAGGCCTTTCACTATTGTGTGATGTCTACTAGAATACCCACAGTATAACCAATTAGCAACCAAACAAATTCTTTGTAAATGTCAGGTCTGAGTCAATAATTTTGCTGTAACTTTGATCAACAGCAACAGGATGACTTTTTGCAGTAAGTGCATCAAATAACCCTTGTAACACCATCCATGATTGGCTGAAACTTGGTTGATTGAGCCATTACCTAGGTTGTAAGACCCTATTTGAACAAGTTACTTATAACTCCATGCACAAGCCCTCTTGATTATTAATTTTCTGCAATTTTAGTACTTAAATCGAAGGAAACAGTCGAAACAGTGAATTGTATGGTTTTGAACAAAATAAACTGGTTATTAATGTATCTCCTGAGTCCATAGACATTTTTATTTTTGCATTTTAAGTTATAAAATGAATTATTGATATGAACAACAGCTCAACTTCATTAGTTTCACAATTTGTTTTTTTAGACGAGTCACTATGAAAAAAGAAGTAAAAAAATATCACTAAGTGGACCTTTAGTGCACCTATAGTACACATACTCCACTGGACTGTGATATTGCCGGTATCAGGTCGTTTGGACCCCTCGCCCTTTTGACCCCTGGACGATTAGACCCCTCAATGTTTCGACCCTAGGACGATTAGACCCCTCGATGTTTGGCGCCACAATCCTCACTATTTGAACCCAGCATTATTTGTCAAAAGTTGCAACATTTTACTGGATAAAACTAGAAGATACCTGACTTTGGCAACAGAATCGCGAATTACGGCGATCCCTCGACGGTTGAACCCCTCGTCGTCACAACCCCAAAACGTTTGAACCCACTCTTGTTACGAATATGAATACTGTCCGATCAAAAGCAACAACCACTTTACTGTATAAAATTAGTTGATAATAATAATAATAAACAGAGTCGCAAATTACAGCGGATATCTTTTCTGATCAATGCCTGTACTGGGCGTTGGAGAGAATTCAGTCCGCCATGTTGTTTACTATCGCAAGGCTATTGTTTAGCAATAGGACTATACCATTCGATTCTTAGGGACGGCAATATAGTCAATTAACACATTTCTTTTTTGTTTTGTTTTCAGGAAAAAGTCAATGTTCTTTTCCATGTAAAGCTGTGATTACCTCAATCAAAATACTAGTAGTTAGGTGAAAATACGAGAAACATATTTACAAGCCGGTACATGGCTGTCATTATTTCATCAAACAGGAAAATACAAATGTTCATTTGAATTATATTCTGTCGGGTTCATTTCCGGGGCCAAGACAACTTGTAGAAATTCGATGGTACAACATACAATTTGTAAATATGTTTCTAATATTTCAATTAACTTGTGTATTTATTAATCGTGATATATTTTAAGGGGTCGAAACGTCAAGGGGTCTAATCGTCCTGAGGTCCAAACGGCGAGGGGTCCAAACGACTTGTAATCATATTGCCTATGTTCGTCATGTAAACACAAAAAATAGCAAAATAAACAAGATTATCCCATAGTGCCCTGCAAATCCAAGATTGTGGTAACAAGCTATTTTTATTTCAAATCTAATTCATATTTTGGGACAAATACATCAACTTAATACAAAATTTAATTAATTAAGTGGACTATTTTACATTCTGACTTTGCTTTGACATATTATTGTTTGATTTTGAAGTTTGAAATCGTTTCAACTTTTGCATCAACTTTTGAAATACCATGGGAAATTGATTTAGTTATTTCGAAGTCTGGGAAAATCGTTAAAGCTCATAAAAGGTGACAAAATCGTTCATAACGCCCTTAGTTAGCTAATCGGTATTTAGATTTGTATGACTTCAACTCGTACCATGACCAAGCAGGGGTGGTTAATTTAAAACGTAATCACTTACTTGACCCCAACGTATCAAGTCGTTAGTCGATTCATCTTCGAGTAGGGATATTAATTTGTTGAGGAATGCCGGTATTGTACTTCCATGGTGAATATCCATCGTATTCTCGATATTTTTGGAGTGTTATTTAACTGTACGGCGTGCGATTCTACAGATTTTCAGTTTGCATGAGACACAACAATCTACCAATTGTACGCCATCTTGTTTGATCTCCTAGCTTCATCCCGATAACCACACTATGCGAACTATCGATCACATTAATCCCCGAAATACAGTCGGCATGGATGAAATAAGAGTCGTGCCGCCCTATGGTATGATATAATAAGTATTTTTTGTGAAAAACAATATTTTCACACTTTCTTCTTTGTTTCAAAGTTCTCATTAAAAATATGTTTAAGCAGCCATATTATTTTTTTGCAATACGACAATTTGTCGAGTTTTTTGCTGAGACTTTCGGGTTCAGTAGTTCAGTTCAGGGTTGGAAAGCAGAGCGGACATTGACCTAGCTGCAAACATTGACCCTATTAACATGGAACTAGTTGACGTAACCGAGTTAGTCCAAATGTATATTTGCGCACGTTATAATTGGAGTAACGTGTCATAGGGATATTTTCATGCAACGTGTAAACTGTATTATTTGGGAATTAGTTCAAATATTAATGGTAACTTCACAGCAGCGAACAATTAAAAGAAAAATCCGGCATACGTCAGTCTGCGATATTAGGGGAGGCAAGAATTCTTACAAATTTGACATACAAGATGTTCAACTACACTTTTTTGCGTATAGTCTGTGGGCCCAGGGTGAAAATTTTCACAGACGTAGCACCCCCCCCCCTTGTGAAAAGCAACAACCATGTTTTTTTCATAGAAGTGTCCTTTTGGGAACTTATTTTTTTTGGGGGGGGTGTCCCTAAAAAGTGGTAGCAAGGTGTAGATTTCGAGGATTGTTGTACACTGTTAAAAAACGATTTTTGACAAACTCTAAATTTCACCATAAAATAACGAAAATTGTCTGGTTTGAATATTGTTGTTTTTAATCAGTAAAAACAAATTCCAGTCATCCAACATTGTTAATCAAGGTTATGTATTGTATTTCTTATTGTACATAGTATTGCTTAGGAGTGATCCATTGGAAAAACATAAGAATAGGACAAAATAAAGATTTCCACGAAATAATAGAAAAATAATTCGACAGTGTATATCTGCAATACATTAGTTGTATACAGTTCAATATGGAAATACATATGACTCATGTACAAGATATATATTCTAATTCTAAATGATAACACACAAACTATACAGCTATACAATAATAATGCCATTATCATCACAGCTAATATCACAGCTAAGTATTTTATCCGTCCATATCCATATCAGAGTCGTCCGCTGTATCCGATTCTTCTGGGTCAACACTAATAGCGACTTTATGTGGATTATTACAATCATCACCATTCATACATAAACAGGCATCTGC